TTTTTTCCCTCATTCGTGCGTCCGTCGGCACGAGGGTTTTTTCCAGGCTGGCTCGGTCCAGAGAAATTAATCTGACGGTACCAAATGGTGCTTGTCCTGGCTTTTTTATGTGAGGTGAATGTAGTCATTTTTCCTCCTGGGGTCTGTCCCCCTGTTGTTGCTCCTAGTTTCTTCTGCATTCCGGTTCACATCTGGATAAAAACATGAAGTTTGATTGTGTATTCTTGGACTTCACCAAGGCGTTTGATAAAGTACACCACGCTAGCCTGATCAGCAATCTGAGCGATTTCTTGGAACAGGAAGCAATTCCCTGGTTTGAGAGCTATCTATGCAACAAAAGCCTATCAGTACGCCTAGAGGACGCAGTATCTGAACGCTATGGGTTGTCCTGTGGAGTCCCTCAAGGGTCCCATCTAGCACCCCTTCTCTTCCTTCTATATATCAACTCTCTACATAAAATTGTAAAGCATACTTCTCCCTATTATGTTTGCAGATGATGTCACCCTCCTCAACGTTCACACACGTACTGATTCCCTGGCTGGTAACTTAGCCAACGTCCAAGCCGATTTAGCGAGCTGCCAACAGTGGGCAAGAAACATCCACGGCACGTTCTCTGCAGACTACACAAGTATAATGTCCAATTACGACCTTCCTCCTGGACACTCTGTGCAGATGGACAATGTAGACTTAAACTTCAAGCAGGATTGTAAACATTTAGGAGTGCAGCTCAGCAGTGATCTTAAGTTCGATAATCATTTCAATACCATGTCCAAGAAATTTCAGCAAAGAGTAAATCTATTGTGCTATATGGGTCGCTATCTACCTTACCCCAACATTGCCTTGCTCTACAAATCATATGTACGCCCCACAATAGAATATGCCACTCCGATCTGGAGCCTCACCCTAACTACTGCACAGCTAGCTATGTTTGATGTCCTGCAGGCTAAGGTGTGTAGACGGTTACTAAGATCAGCCGAGATAGAATTTGACAGATATGAATCAAGAGATGGTTTAAATAGTATGTGTAACTTAGAATCCCTCCATTTCAGACGTACCCTCATCGCTATTACAATTCTTTTCAAATACATCCACTTTCAACCTCATATCTTATACCATTGTGATATCAATATTTCTCGTAGTTAACGCAGACCGAACAAGCTTGTTTTCAACTCTCATGGGAAATTTTCATCTTCCATTTTCCTACATAAAATCGGCAAATTATGGAATTACTTTCCACCCAAGATTACCGCTTTAGATTCTGTTTCAGAATTTCGGACACAATTTCGTGCTCATTATAAACGGCATATATATTCCTGCACAATTCGCTTCACTAGTAAAAAAATCAATGATCATTTTCACTGCTTAAGAAGATCCCCTGATAGGCTATGCCTTTGGGAAATCCTTTAAATATCAAATTGACAGAACCAGACAGAAAGAGTGAAATAACAGCAACGAAAAGTGGTGAAAAAAGTTACGAAGTTTTCGTTTCTGGAGGAAGTAGTAGCATAGTTGGGTTCCCCATAGACATCAATAAACAACGGGGTGTTGACGTCAGATCATGGGGGCCCAGTAGTACTTCGAAGTTCGTACATGTCCTTCTGCACACGCATCGAAATCTGAGAATGATTTTATGCAATATTTCGTGTTTGAAAACATTTATCCGCGGGTACCGGGCGCTGGCTGAGAAAAGGTTGTCTTCAAAAGGTTATTTTGCGAGAATCCGCGATATATGTGTTGAAACAAAAATGGCGTTACGATTTATTGAAAGTGGTATAGTTGGTACGATTGTTCAAAACCATTAATTTTGAGCTCCAAAGTGTTCGTCCTCTTTTTGACATGCTCACAACAGCTCGCACCAAACAAAAGCTAAGGACGATGGAAGGAGAGCATTCCAAAAAGAAGATTAAGGCTATACATGTAGTTCAAATGGTTTTGAACACCCGTACCGTACCACCAGTAGGCACCGGTGGATTATGCCGGCATATTTATTGGTATAGTTTGGTGGTTGAAAATTTGGAGCATAATTTTGCATCCTCTCGGAGGTAGGAGCATAACTACACGATTTTACCACGGTTCTAGTATGTAGGCTATACAATTGTGTACAATGCGCCTGATCAGTGCTGGTGGTCTGCATGGCAAAGGGATCAGAGGTCATGCAGATAGTGTTTCAATGAAAAGCAGGGTATAAATCATGGCAATACAGTATTGTATGCTCGAAATCGTCTTCTTCAAAGTTTTTTCTCACACTGAGACAGTACATGTAGCAGAAGATGCGAGTAAATCAGCCTTCATCAGGTATCCCGGGGCAGACGAGATAGTGGCGGGTAGTCTGCAAAACTCTGTGTACCACAGTACATGACATTCTACATGGTATAATAACGTGCTGTCAATCTAACAATAGACATTTCACATGTACATTACATTAAATTTGAACATTATGCATGTTACGAAGTCATGACCTCTGGATTTTAGCCACCATGATATGACTGCAGGATATGGATATTGCTCTACATTGATTATTATAGTTGATGTTCGGTCATGAAGGAAGGCGAGGTGGAGCTACGGGAGAGATGAGCTGATTATCGTTTATGGTTCTGTCTCCTTCGTTGGTGGGTCACTTGCTATGGTGATTGTGGTAACAATTGCCGTATTCTGGACTATTGTAAACTTTGATCAGTATTTTGTTGATCCATAAACGGTTGTTGGTGTTTGTGAGAGCGTGTGTTTGCCAATGCCACTCTGATGTTTTGCAATTATATCCACTGATAACACTTTCGGGATGCTATTGATACCACAAATTGTATTGCTTTCGCCTCATGCAATTGCATCTCTGCAACTCTTCATATCTCACTTTTTTTTCTTTTTTTTTTACCATTATTCACAAACCCAACTCGTAAAATAAATAATTATGTGGACAAAAACAAACAGCTACTTGTATCAATGTGGATTTCAATGAAATTTTGTGTGTGACCTCGTGATATTCACCACTGTCAATTTACGATGCTAACCTGGGAGAAACCCGACTTGAAAAAAAGGCTGATGTACCTACTAGTATGTCTTCGAAATGTTTGCAAATTCGTACACCAGTTTCGGATTTTATCATATTGGTCTCAAAGGAAAGCTACAGATGTCCTCTTTCTGAATAACGACACTAGCTACCCAGCGGGAGCAACTGAATCGCCTTCATGCCATTTGAGAGCTGCCCAATTACTCCTAAGCAAGATTTTGTAGCCACCTTCACAAATTTCACCGGTTCTCAAGTTTTACTTTTAAACGTTGCACTGTGAGTCAAAGTCCTGCAGATTCCTGAAACTCAAGATATCCATGTGGTCTCCACAAAGCATTCTCCGTACAGCGATGAATCAAAATGAATGTTCGATTTTGAGGCACACCAATCACGTTGATGTGCTCTTCGCCCGAAGTTTTCAAAACAATACAAGTTTCAAACATCTCAGCGTTTTGGTCTATAACACTTGCGCAGTTTCCGGGCATCTGTTTCGATATCAAACGACATACCAAGACAACGGTTATTCTCTCGCATTTCCAGTGAACTCTTTTTTGCAACGATCAGATAATGGAAAATGACGCAACGACAATTTGAACAGCGATGTATAATGCATGTTACACGTATGCGCATCTACACGATGTACATGTATACTAAATGCGGTGTGAGGAAATCCGGGTGTGATGTTTTGACGCATATTTGTGACATCAGGGCGCAAAAGTTTGATAAAGACATAAAAATTCATGCCACACCCATCAGGCGGACGTAGGTACATGTATGTGGCGGACCGGGGTGTAATCCCTGCAAGGTTCAGGCACACAAGTGGTGGCACCTGAACCTCCACATTGCGTCAGCCCGCACTCGTGCATAGCCATGAAACTGTAGTTTCTTGCACTTTTTGTCAGTAGATATCCTTAGGCCACGCCGTTTTTTCTTTGTTTCGTGTCACCTTATTCGATGAAATCAATGAGGGAGGGCGAAAAAATAAAAAAGCCATCCAAAAAAAACAGTGTACGCGGATTGCATTTGTGTACATACAGCGAAGCGACGCGGCACTGTTCATAATATATTGACACACACATGCAGTGACACACACATGCATACATGTACATGAATACATGAGTGTCTCCCCTGTGCCATGCTTGTGGTCCAAAACACAGGCGGCATGATGATTGTGTGATTTGCGGCCCAGCTTATAACACACACATGTACATGTACATGTGTGTCACAGTGTGTGAGCTGAGTACAATCATGCGATAAATAGAACAAATTTATGCCAACATAATAGTTACCGTGTAACAACCATGTTCCGTTTTTTTTCTCTTTTGGGTTACATTTTTCGGTTTTCTGGGTTTGCATTAAATTTGTTTAGCGCTTGCACCCGAATGCATCAGAGCAGTGTATAGGAAATGGGAGAGCCAAGTGACTTCATGCAATGGAAAGTCACAGAGCAAAGCTGCATGCATACCCACGTATTCTCACAACACCGCACAAGGATGATTGGGGTACACCAGTGTGCTGGTTTCGATCAACTGGTGAAGCGATTGGCGTTGCAAACAGCCAAAGTGATCGCTCACGACTGAGCTGCAGCAGTACCCGCGACCGGGTGCAAAGTTTCCTGATCGACGTTGCAAAACAGCCAACCAGGGTGAAGCAGTTGGCGTTGCAAACGGCCAAAGCAATCGCTCATGCTTGAGCGGCAATAGTACCCGCGACCGGGTGCAATGACTACTGATTGGCGTCGCAAACAGCCGACCAATAGTATGCAATTTTAAGCAGAGATAGTAGCAGCAAAGCAACCAGTTGAAGGAAGCTGTTCCCAGAAAACCAGCACACGGCACCCCAGCAAGCATTCACCACCAATTCACGAGAGCTAAGAACAAGTGATTAAGGCACGAGTTGGCTAAAGGTAGGCATGCAGATGGATGAAATCCAACGCAGGTTCTCAATACGGCAATTGAGCAATGACAATCGGTACCTGTATGTCAAGGCCATATTACATCAACTGGAATGGCAGCACTGCTCGGTCTGGTTGTGCTTGAGCAGCTTGGGGGAGACGTCGGAATTCCTCCATGCGGAAACGAGACAGCGAATCGGCAATGCAGTTAGACTGGCCAGCAATGTGAGCAGCAGTGACGGTGACATTGAAGCGGGCGCACACAAAGAACAACTCCCTGATTAGGGTCATCACTGGCGGTGACTTGGATGTGCCGGAGCGGATGCAATCTACCCCAGTCTTGTTGTCACAGTGCATTGTGATACGACGCTGGCGCCATTCCTTGCCCCACGTGCAGCACGCTGTGACCAACGCGTAGAGCTCCTTCCACTCAATGCTGTGAACGAGTTGCTCAGGCGACCAGGTCCCTTGAAGCCAGCGGCCGCTGTTGAATGCACCCCAGCCCAGGGTGCCACTGGCATCAGTGAACAGCTCGAGGTCTGGAGATGGTGTCCAATCTGGGAACAGGAAGAATGATTTTCCGTTCCATTGTTCCAGGAGCCGTAGCCACCATTGGATACCTTCCTGGCACTCGGTAGTCAGACTGATGCGGTAGTGAGGCTGCTGGTAGCAACTGCAAATAGACCACAGGCGCCGCATAAATGTCCGGCCGGGTACGATGACTCTTGCAGCGAAGGAGAGTTTCCCCAGAAGAGATTCGAGTTCGCGCTGAGACATGGTGGGGTTGATGCTCGCTGCAGTCAACAGGCGCTTGATGTCAGCCAATTTGTCGTCAGGGAGCCGGGCTTCCATCTTCTCACAATCCAGGATAATGCCCAGGAATGTCAGGGTACGAGACGAGCCTTCCACCTTCGCAGGCGCGAGCGGGACTCCGAGGTATGAGAATGCGCGGAGAAGAATGGCCAGCTGCCGATTCGCCACTGCCTGGCCCACGCTCACGCGCAAGTAGTCGTCCAGGAAATGCAGCAAATTTGGGATGGAGAATTCGTGGTGCATTATCCATTCGATGGTGGGTGCCACTGCATCAAACACCGCCGGGCTAGAGCGGAGCCCAAATGGCAAGACACGGTCGTAGTAGTACTTCCCCTGCCACAGGATGCCGAAGAGATGCCAATCCTGTGGGCAGACAGGTATTTGACGAAAAGCGCTCTTCACATCGAGTTTAGAGAGATAGATAGGAGACGGGGAGGACATAATGCTTCATCAATGCTGATGTACTGCAAAGAGAAAGGCTCGGCAGGGATCCCGTCGTTAACGCTGGAGCCGGCTGGGCTGGACAGGTAGTGTATCAAGCGTAGCTTGCCATTCTTTTTCGGAACAGTGCCAATGCCAGAGCAGTACATAAATGGGAATGGGGGCGAGTCAAATGGGCCAGCCGTGTAGCCGTCGATGCAGGAAGCGGTGAGCTGTGCAGACACAAATGCAGAGTGCTGGAATGCTGATGAGAGGTTGGACGAGTGCTGGTTAGTTATGCCGTTGCCGGTAAAGCCAATGTCAAAGCCGCAGCGGAGGCCGTTGATAACATACGAAGCCAATGAACTGTCAGGGTGGTTACGGAGCAGTGATTCGAAGCGAGAAACAGAGAGGGGTGTGTGGACAGCAGGACATGCGCTTATGAAATCAGTAGAACGTGAAGTGCAGGGAGAAATATGTACAATCGCGGGAGCTGCAGCCAAAGCAGCAGAGTTACTGGGGCCTACCGCACTTAGATCCGTTGTGGTCCTCGGACCCGCAGCGGTTGCAGACATGGGCGTACTTGCACGTGCTGAAACTGCAATGCCCAGCGTTGAAGGTGCGGCAGATCCGTTGGCCATTAGACACCGTACGGACTCCATTGAAGGCTTGCTGGTTGTTACGTTGCGGACGAAAGGGACACTGGCCGCCTCCGGGATGGACGAGGCGGCAGGACTCACATGTGGGCCTTGATCGGCTAGTCACGGACATTAGCAAAGGTGTCCCGCAAAGTAGGTGCCCTCTGGCGGACTCGGAGATGCTTGAGCCTGGCGGCCCGAGTCACCTACTTGAAGTCCGTGGTGATGCCGGATCTGACCTACGCATCAAGTTGTTTCTTGTTCTGTCTAACTGCCCAGCAAGCAACGGATCTCCAGACGCTGGAGAAAAAAGCGGTTCGCGCAGTTTTGGCGCTCGGCCATACGACTCTGCTCAACCTCTGCTCCAACGGGTGGAACTCTACCGAATCTCAGAGCTGCACAAGCAAAAGGCGCTCTTGCTCACCTGGCGATGCATGCACGGCATTGCGGGGAACCGGCGCTGTGGACTGAATTCAAGGTCACAAGATCGGCGTACCCGCTCGCAGAAGGACATCGGAGCGCACGTACCACCCGCCGCAAGCCGCGCTGGTCAGGCTAGGTTCTCTGTTGCCGCTCCCAAGCTGTGGAACGCACTACCCAGCGGCATCCGCACCATCCCCCAACGCAGTGTGTTCAAGATGTCAGTCATCCCACATACGCTCGCTCCATGAAACGTATCACCCATTATTCCAGTCACTGTTGCTGTCGCATCCACTCGTAGTCCACGTCCACTGATGTCGACCGAGGTAGCTCTTTTGCTACTGTGTAATAGTGACATGTACCCAGCTAATGTCTCTCCTTCGTTCAGGGAATTCAGAATAGGAAGTCTGCTGTACCACCCGCTCTTTTCTTTTTACTTTTAAAAGCGATTATTTGTAACATTGAAATTTGTTCCTTGGCTCACCATCTGAGTTCTTAAAGCTATTATTCATTTTCTGCTGCCCCCGGTTATTTCTTTCATTAGTATTATTATTTTCTTTGTCTTCGCTTTCTTGTTATTGGGCAACTTGCCCGTTAGAATCTGCGAAGTAAAATAAACAACAACAACAACAACAACAACAACAACAACAACAACATTTGCCACAGATTTATGTCGATGACGTCAAACAAATTCCGGTTGCTGCTCAGTGACACTGCAAAGGTAAGCGCAAGCCAAAGTCAGCGCAGCAAGAGCTACCCAAGGCGATTTGGGCACGCATGCGCAGCAGTTGAGTGCATGTGTAAAGCCAGCTCAGTCGCAGCTAGCATGAGATAGAGAGCAGCGCATTGGTCTTATCGCTAACTAGGGTTAGCCCACGTTAGCCCAAAAGCTAACCCAACATTTTGCATTTCCCAAAAAATTATGTTCCTTTTTTTGTTTTTTTTTGGTTTTTGAACTCCGGCTGTGAAATACATGCCTGCGGGGACGCGAACTATGAGCCGAGCCAAGCAAAAAGGTGGCTTAGGCATAATTTTTGGAAATTTCTTTTTCCATGCCAAAGTGATGTCTACCTATCCAACTTCCATCAGGAAAATTTTGGTGCCCGTCTGAAATGTATATGTGCCATAAATACGTATACATTGCGCACATGTCACAGCATACCTGGTATCAGTGACACTAAGGATTTGAAGACTGGCCCAAACTCCCAAAATCATGGGACACCAAGTGAAGACAAAGCTTAGCAGGTGTGGAAGCAATACAAGAAGAACGAGCACTTGTGTTCTAATTAGAAGATCCAAAGAAAGAATAAATATTTGATCTATGTATCTCATGTCATTTCTTCACGGAACACGAATTTTCATATCCTTCAATGATGTTGTGAGTCTGTGACTATATTTTCGCTGGGCTGGGATACGTCGCATCTAAGTCTTACCAAGACAGTCCGTTACTCTCTCCGATCACCTATGCCAGCATGAATTAATCCATTCATGTAGCTCGTAGTGTTGTGCCAGAGATCCAGCTCCATCCGTCCCTTGCACGTACGTGTAGGTCCAGCAGACAGCACATCGCTAAAAAGCGGCACTGATTCCTTGTCCGTCCTAGTCCATGTCATTCTCCTTCCCTGGTGCAGGTAGTGGTAGAAGGCACCACGATAATGCTTACAGGTAGAGTCAATTCGTCGCTTCGTCGTGTGGCACCATTGGCCTTGAAATGAGGAGATGTTGATATACAGTACGCCACGTCATGAACATTTGAAGGTAGCCGAAACAAAGTGAAACATCGCAGCAAGACCTAACTCACTAGGCAGCTTGTCAGAATGATAGTCGGACGGCTTGTACACGTCTCCCCATAGCTATACTAGCCGCTCTAGTCGTGGCCACGATGAGAAACACGGCCACTATGAATGAGCGAATCTTCCTCGTCAAGTGGGGTTGGGCGCACACGGAGACAGAGTGTCATCCTGCTCACCTCCACATTCTCCAGAACGCTCCATTACGATCTCTGGCAGGGGCAAGAAATCCCCACAACGATAAAAGAGGGAACACTGAAGAAGTGTTGCTCAAAAATAAATGGCCTCTTTCTTTTTCTCCACTTGCAAACTATTTTACTTGAAAGGTTCAAAGAGTGCTCGAAAGTGAATATTTTCGCGACTGCGCTCGAGTAGAATTTTGCCGACTGTGACGTTTTGGTAATTTTCTCGATTTGTTGGCAAAACGCTAAGCCACTTTTTAGCTTGGCGCGGCTCATAGATAAAAAACAGTGTGGCTTAGCTAAAAAAACACTAACGTCAACGCAATCCTTACCGTACTTCGGATTGTTCAAGCCGACTTTTCCCTTAGCACAATGTACGTTATAGTTCAGACAAAGTAGTCGCGACAACCATGGCGTTATGAATTTTCGCGAAAACAAGTGCAGGAAATTCAAATGTTTTAACAAGGGATTAGTTTGCTGTTGTTCCGAATGAATTCCTTGCCGAGGTCTTTCACTCGGGAATGGCAAAGGCAGGGCGAAAAAGAGTATTCGTTGTGCCCAGGTCCTTGGAAACGTTTCCTACACGCAGCAGCGACGACTGTAAGGGTTCTCCAGTTCCAGCGGGTCTGGGAGAGTCCAATGAATTTCTTCTTCAGGAGTGCCGCGGAACCGATTCTTTGTTTCCCAGATGGGATAGAGAGTGAAATGCATGAAACAGAGGATGCAGACATTGTCAACTGAAAGGTATAACTCACCAAAAAAGCTAAAAGTCACTAGAGGAAGCAATCTCGACTCCGGTCTCGATCTGCACGTGTTTTTCATCTCCCGCTAGTTACAAAACAATGCGAGTTTTTTTGCATTTTTTGCTGAATTACCATAATCGAACGTCGGCCCTTTATTCTGAGCTCTGTAACGTTATTCCGTTATCCGATAATGTCTTTTGTCGCGGCTGGGGGTCAGTACCGTGAAAGTTAGTGTTATCGTACTTTTGCTAAGGATCTCTATCATCCCCAAACATATATCACGACCACCCTGCGAACACCCCGGGTCCCTGTTTTGAAGGTAACAACTGGTTTCTCTTGGGTCCCTTGAACATGTCCATGTGCAATAGTTCCTTCTTTTTTTGCCATGGGACCCGCACCCTAGTGCGATTCTGGACCCCAAGAGGCCTCGATCCACGTGCTCATGTACAGGCCCATTGCATCTACAAAGTACTGTAATTTCACAAATTTCCGGTGTACTTTTATTTCGGTACCTTCGGTACATCTGTTTCATACTGAAGCAGATAAATTTTCAATAAACCGAACACCAACACACATAATCCAATAAGAAATTGCTTCTCTGTGTCTAAAATTTCTGTTCACCTAACTTGGCTTTTGCGCTCACACCGAAAATATTGAGCACCTAAAATTTCTGAAATCAGAGTATACTCTCAGAAATGAAGGGCATTGCTTACCACGCAGGACATTTTACTGAATGCATATGCTATGCGTAGAGTACAGCAAGTGTACAGCATAACCTGCTGATGTCACAGTCACGGTGGAGAAGAAAATACAATGCACTTGACGGACAGGCGTACTCACCCTGATCTGACACTGACAGGCTTTTGACCCAAACTACACGTATTTCGAAACTGCGACTTGAACTTGAAGCCAGGCTTGTCTTGGTTTGGCTGAGCGATACCTCGGTAGACACGATGAGGATCCAACATATCCATGTGAACTAGTGTTGTGCGTCTGGCTTGAGCCATACTGGGTGAACTGCTAGTTGCAGCGCTGCGCATCACACACAACTAGCCTGTCCTAATTTCAAAACTTCGCATCATTATACGCCAAATCTCAAACAAGCAAGCCGAACTTTCAGATACTTCGACTTGATGGAGAACCTTCCTCATCTACAAATACATTACGCAGTTACCACTTCCACAGGTTCTGCTACATAGTCGACGCAACTCCTGCTTCCTTCCGTCGACAACAGCTAGCTGTGTTAGC